AAGACGTCAGCCATAGACTCCCCTAGGTTCTGGTGCAAGTCGTGAACCACGTTAGTACAGTTGTTGGACTTAGCGTGATCGGACAACGTAGACAGAAACGTACCCTTATAGAGGCCAAGTAGACGTAGATACGTATAATGAATACTCATAGGTATACGTTGACACCTACGGGCCCTCAGGTTAGCGTCGTGGGGTAGTGTAGGGACTCCGAGTACGTGACCAGTAGTACTAACGTCCCAACAACGTAGAGAAGAGCTGACCAGCCTATGCATCTTCTTACAGTAAAACCGGCGTTGTAGTAGATGGCATACCCGTCGTGGTCCCAAGTGCATGTACTTATAGTGATAGATAGTCGATAGGATCCTTATGAGGGCTGACGTATACTTGCTGTTACCAAGATAGATCACACCGTCGTCATCTTCTTCAGCATGGCGAAGTCGCTCTGGGCTAGGGTGACGTCTGACTATACCATGTTGGTCAACGTAACAAATACGAGCCAACCTTCTTAGTTTACCACCCTTCATGCCGAGTTCCTTGTAGGTGACCTTCTCAAGGAGAAGATTCTTGAAGTCCTTCAAGTCGTCGTCCAATTCTTGCGCACGTATTACGCAAGCACTGACACGGTCTTCGTAGTTACCATCCTGTAGTAGCTCTGGGTCGATCTCTTCCACGGGCTTGGCATAACGTGTGAGTTCACGTAGTTCTTCTTGTTGTTCAGTAGTAAAGGAGCCGTAGTTGGGTAGGTCAATACCGTCACAGTTGAGAGTCATCACCAGAGCACCGACAGTTGAAGAGTTGGTTGTGGCGTTAGCCACGGGAGAAGTAGTAACCTTCTGTACTAGTTTAGTACCAGTAGTTGTTGTTGACGTATTCGTGGCGTTAGCCACGGGAGAAGTAGGAAATTCCTACTAGGAATACATTGAGCGTCCCTGCCGTTGGTGGTTGCAGTTGTTGGTTCCGTGGCGTTAGCCACGGGGGAAGTGGTATATTGTGAGCAGGGTTCTTCATCGTTGGTCTCGACTACGTTCTCAGCCAACTCGTCATCTGTAATCTCCCTATAGTCAAAAACCACTTCGCTGACAGACATCGCCTTGCAGACGTGGGTACCGTCAATGACCTTGTCGTTGATCTTAGCTCGTGATATCGAGTCGGCATAGTTCAACTCAGAGGGTATGTGCTTGACGATAACGTCTAACTGTCGGCACATCTCTCTAATCTCCTTCAGTCTTCGTCGTTCAACGACAGGTAGCTTCTTGTCCCTACTGGGAGTCCCAGTCTGGGACGTCGTAACCGATATACCGTGATCTCACTGTCACATAGGAGAACGACTTGTCGAGCTGGTAGATTAGGTACCAAGGGTTCTAGAGGTGACTGGTGAGGACGTAGACAAGTCTTGATGGGTAAGTAGGTTGATGTAGAACGTATCCAAGTGAGGGCGTGGTGTACAGCGACCAGCTCCTTACGTGGAATAGTCCACTTAGTCTGTGAGCTTGGGAAGACTCCTCCACGAGCCATGACCCTAGTAGTAGTATCTTCACCAGTGGTACACCTCACGTCCACACCCCAACATTCACCAGATGCATCTGATGAGACCAATAAGGGGTAATTCTCCAAGTCAATGAACCTCTCGAAGCCTATTAACGTAGTTATTTCCGTACACGACGTTGCCCATACTTTGATCCGATGGACCAAATCATCATTGAGCTTGTCGTCCCAGTTTTTATGAGCCTGACAGACTTCTCGCCAAAGTAGTCGTCCTTGTATGTCTAGCTCAACGTAGAGGCCAAGAGGGTCGTAGAGGGAAGCCAAGGCTGCACAAGCCTGTAACTTAGTGACTTCACCATCTGGCACGTAGCCGGAGTAAACCGCGTGGAATTTGTCGACGTCTAACTTGAACAGGTATCCAAGGACAGACTTCTTGGCACCGTCGTTACCGTCCGCAGTCAACCAGT